ATGAGCTGCTGGGTCGCTGCTATTGTCGATGCAGTTCTTGTTGTCAAACTTGCATGTAGAGAAAGACAGACAGACAGACAGACAGACAGACAGACAGACAGACAGACAGACAGACAGACAGACAAACAGACAGAGAGAGACAGAGAGAGCGACGGAGAGAGAGAGAGAGGGGGAGAGAGAGAGGGACAGAGAGAGAGAGAGAGAGTTGGACAGTTTACCCACCGTAGTTGTCTGTTTCGCTGGGTCGTTCCAGTTTGTCTTCTGCTGCAACGACGAGACAACCTCCAAATTTCCAACTAAACTCTTTCGTCGGTAATATTTGCGCGGGGCCCGTGGCCCGCTGGCAGGCCGTGGTCGAGGCCCGGCTGACGACCTTCGGCCCTATCGGCAACTCATCACCCTCTATGAGTTCCTCTTTGGTTTTTGATCTGTTGGAACCAGCAGCAGCTTTTTGCAGCAGAAATACATTGCTTTCGATGCGACGGAAACCGGACTTCCGCGCCGGGGGGTCCAGTTGTTGGCTCGGGTGAACTCGCTTGACAAAGAGTTGCTGCCAGCAGCTGATAAACAACGTGCCAGCGCAGCTCTGGAGGGAGGTTCAGGGTGACAGAACCTGCAAGTCGCCTCGAACTCCGCAACATGCAGCAGCATGCGGTGAGCTCGTGTCCCACGTGCAACTTGCCTCACTCCGACCTCTAACTTCTGCGTCCACTGCGATTGATTTGCTGGGAAATCTCAGAACAAACAACACGCAACAAGGTGAGATCTTCACGTTGTATACATCCCATGCCATGTCACTCAAGGTTTACAGGAGTCAGAACAGAGCACATCCTTACCGTCCGACGCATGTTCTATCTACTTGCAGGACCAGTCAGTTGAACAATCCAATGAATTCGGTTGATACCCACAACATGCCACCGAGTTTCATCAGGAACGTCGTCTTCATCCGTTTCCTGAAAACCAATGCAATTCAGTGGAATGTGATGATCTGGCACTCACGTATCAGAATGCCAAGACATGCCTCATGATCCATCGGGCCAGGGCATCTTGCAGGTGGTGCTGGCCTGTTGCGCACCATCATTGCTTGCCAAGAGATGCAAAGCTATTTGTCGTCTACAAAACCGTCGAAGCTTCCGCAAAAAGGGGTACTTCTCGAATTACCACCACTATAATCAATCTCCTGCGCCCAATTCACAATATTTTTGTTATATCCCCCACGATGACGTCAAACGCCCAATTCAGCTCGGGGGTGTGTGTCTCCTGAAATGGGCCGCGGCTGGGTTGGTTAGGTATGGCGGAATAAAGTGCTGGCGCATGCAGGACCACGGCCCAGATGTTGTCCACATATGGGCGGGATTCAGGAAGAGGGACCAAAATGCTTTCCCCCAAGTGCCGTCGGAATCACCGAATCGTTTCCGGCAAACGCTGGTGAGATTGAAAAGGCAAGGGCTCGTGCCTCTCCCCGTTCCATTGGTGCCTCCTGCACAGTATTGGAATCGATGATGACCCCGGCTTTCCAGGCGAGCAGCACAGATCCTGTGAACGTGAATGCAATACATGCACCAGACTGCACCATGCCACAACGGGACGGTGGTCCGGGAAAACTTTGTTCGTGCGCCCGCCCGGCTTCACTAAACCATATTGTTTACGCTTAACCTTACAACCCCATGATTAATGCGCACCAGTGTTTGGGGAATAGGGACGAAGAAGCAAATAAAAGGAAGTTAACAAAAAACAAGCATAATAAAATATAGTACACCCGCATATACAATAGGCGACGGACGAAGGGGAAGATAGTGGGGCCGAGGTCCCCTGATGCAATCATTCCCCCAGCCACTTGAAGTTAAATCCATCCGGCAGGTGCCAAATTAGCTGGCCACCCCTGTTCAAAGAATCAGAGTAACTCACAGTCGTGTTTTCACATTACCTGTCGACATCGGCAGGCTGCATCTCGGCGCAAAGACTTCCCATTTGTTACAGATGTTACAATCCTGCAGCAATAGACAATAGGTCTCAGCGTGTCTCAGCCATGGCCTGGGCTGCATCCAGGCATTCGGCAGGCCCGTAAAACACTCGCACTGACTCACACACCACCGGTCACTACAGCACGCTGAAAGGCACAACAGCACCTTCGCGTCCTGTTCATCCTCTGCTTGCCACTGCGGTCGCTGCGGAACTACAAACATGCGATGTCACGGCATTCATGGCAGGCCTGTAGGCATCGTCGAGTTTTGCCATCTCCTGCTAGTCTCGTTACAACTGTTCTCTCAGCACATGCTTTGCGGCAAGGAAACATGCCTCTGCCGCCACTTCAACACGCAGCTTGGCAAGAACCTCTGCATGTAGTGCAGGCCAAGAGTGAAGCAAAGCACCCACACAGCCTCTTCCAATTGTTTACGCTCCGGCGCAGTGAGACTCTGGAGACTCAGCTCGAACCGGGGGGTCCTGGCCGCATGTCAAATGCGCACACAATGTTGCCAAAGAAGTCGCGCCTCGAGAGTGACCCCAAGACTTCGACGGCAAACTGATTCTGAGAATGCCCTGCGCCCATACAACTTTCCAAGGACAGCTGCAAATAATCCAACACCATAAGCCGCCTTCAGCAAGATCGACTTCAAGGGCCTGCAAAGTGAAAGCCATGTGGAACGCGGGGGAATTCAATGGTCGTGTGGTTTTCACCGCGAGGACAGTCCTGAAGAATCGAGGCCAGCAACTCCGAGTCCAAAGATTCCCGGAAGAGCGCCTCATGGGACCCACTGCCAAGCGGCCCTGCGATGCCCTGCGTGGCCTTGCGGCCTTCTGAGGACAGGGGCTGGCAGGGAAGCGGCACCCAGTCTGCGTAATAGCGAAGCTCGATCCAGCGGCCTTGGGCTGACTGGCACTCGCTCCCATCCAATTTTGCGAGCACCATCTCTTGAGACAGGGCTCGTCACAGCACACGGGACTAGTGTAACTTTCCAGACCTCTCTCAGCTGGTGTTCCTGACTTTTCGCGCTCGGCACTTTTGGTAGTTCTCAGGATTGACAGACTGGGATAGATCGAATCAAATTTCGCTGCCTCAGAGGCATCTGGCGCAGAGATGCATACGGAAGGGAAGAACAATGAAATGCCGACCCCCACGACGTCACACCCATCAAAACACCAACATAGCATCTCTCAACCGGTCAACAACTATATTGGTGAAGAGATGTGAAGAGGCTCGTCATTGCAATTTGCAATATCCTCAGTGAGGCTGTTGACAGCGCCGCCGCAGACTCCGTCAAGTTTGATAAGCAGCAGCAGCAGCAGCAGCAGCAGGACAAGGAACGTGTCCTAAGCCTCCCAACCAACCACAGCAAGGGGACCAACCCAAAACCACCCAGCAAGTTTAGAGGTAAAGACGCACGCGCACACAGCGACTGCAGACAAGGCATATGAGTGTGACGGACAAGGGATCAAATTGGCATCTGTGCTGCCATGCATGGAGTCGAAGGGCACACGAAGTGCGAGCAAGGCAATGCAAGGCATAGCACGAGTATCAGAGGGGCAGCATGTCGCTGCACAGCTCGAGGAACCACAATCCTGGATCCTGCCAGTCTCGGTTCCGCCATCAGCTAGCACTTCCATCACTGCCACTGCATCAGAGAAAATCGTGGCATCTGAATCATGCAATGAGTTGTGACATGCATGAAATAGAAGACTTCAATCGAACTGGATGAATCAGGTGGGGTCGCTGTCAATGTGTGATCGTGGGTGCACAGCGACGCCAGGTAAGACCGAGGCCTGCTACGAGCCCATTGTGCCTGGCAGCAATTTAACGACTGCGACGACTCTGTGGCATTCTGCAATATGCACAGCCGGAAACAGCGATAAGCCTGCCTCAAACTGATAGAAACTCATTGGCTTCTTCGCACCTGCACGGAGCAAACATGGCCCTGCGAGTCTGGACCGTCCGGACCATTATGGCTTCCCCATGCCTTGCCCATGATCTGAGCCTACCTGGGCTGGGCTGCTAGCATATCCAAGCTACGATCGCTGCGTCAGCCTCCGCAAGGTGCCGTCCTCGCATTCCTGCCATTGCTCGGCACTGAAATGCTCTGAGCAATGGCACTGTCGCAGAGTAACTGATTCTCGGACGCACCCGAGCACGAACGGGCCGGGCACGCGCACACTGCGTGGAACGTAGGTCCGAGCCGTCGGCGCTGATGCCGAAGAAGGACCTTTGTGGACACGTTGGCACGGAACGGCTTCAACAGCCTGAGCCATGAGTTTTTGAGTTATTGGCATGGAGGTGCCGGGACATCGCCTGCCTCCTGCACGAATGACGCGTCTAAGACGGCAGCACGGCACTGCCCGCTAACACGACCCCATCAATGAAGACGAAGTGAATTAGACACTGACAAGGACTTGTCGCCAGAAAAGACGAAGCTGCTGCAAAGCCCGAATCGGTCGTCTGACCCGAGCAGCCAACCCACACCAGCCCAAGCAGTCTCCACTGAGCTCAGAAGGCCACTCAGCCCGATGAAATGCACTGAAACTACCGAACCAAGACTCGGAAAATCCAACCAACTCACATGTTCTGCCAGAGCTGTCTTCTTCGAAAGATACGTTTTGTTTTCGAGTACGTGTTCAGGCATATTTTGCTTCGACCTGACTTCTTTCGCTTTCGGCGTAGTGCTGCAACGAACTTCATGGAGAGTAACTTTCTCTTGCTTGCAGCAACGGCTACTTCTGCGGCCACAACAACCTGCCGAACACAAGCAGTAGCCACAACGATTGCAAAAGACACACCGCCATTCTCTGAGCGCGTGGCCTGAAATGCTGCATTGACAACAGTAGTCAGTTCGAAGCGTCGTCATCACCGTTTCTATTGCAACAGTAGCATCTTGCGAGTCTTTCGCTATCGTCGGACGGCATCGAGAATGTCTTGATGACAGTTCTGTAGTTGAAGATGTTGCAGCTCAATGGCATAGCAGGATTAGAAACCCTATGCAACTCACATGCAGCACGACTCCAAGAGCGCCTCTCACGTCTGTGAGTAAACCTGAAAGGAGCTGTGAGGAGTGCCTTGCAGGTTGGCAGCCTGCCTGAGCGGCTCAAAAAGTGGCAGTCTAGAGCTAGTCTGTGAGTCTGTGGATACGCGTGAGGGAGGCAAGGGCTGAGAGGAGGCGGGGGGACTTTTAAAGCCAGTGCCACGTTAGTCTGGTACGCTATTCTGTCCAGTTGACCCTTCGTACCTCCTCTGTACTGAAAACTGCTACAAAAAAAAGTTTCTCAATAAGTCGGATAGGATCGAAGAATGTGCCCGAAGCTAAAGCTTCAGCGGTTCTTTGTGGATGGTGTGTGTGAGAGGAGGCTGTTCTGTGAGGAAGCGGACTCTGGTTCGTGCAGTTGCGTGCTTTGGGTTCGAGAATTTCGGTGACATCTATGCTTTTGGGGTGCAAGATTTTCTGCAGGCTCTGTGAGCTGGGAAGCTTCCAGGCGGTGGTAGTCGCTGGAAGAAAAAGCTACAGATTCCAGCTCTAGGTCGCCCACAGTATGAAGACCTCGTGATAAATACGCTGCTTCCATTTCAGTGCGAGGTCGGTGTTGCGCCGAAATTGGTGTAGCACGTGGAAGCGCTCTCGTCCTTGGCAGGTCTTGTTGTGATGTCTTGGCTTGTGGAGCCATTGCTGCTGAGTGTTGCGCCAAGATATTTGGCGTGCGACTGGATGGTGAGCGGGGTTCCGTGTTGGAATTTGATGGCGTTCTGTGAGGTGGGTGAACGAAGAAGAGCGAACTTCTTCAGGTTGAGGTGTAGGTCAAGGCAGAAACCGTCCGTTTGCTGTGAGTTCCCCGTCCATGTGGTGCATGATCATGCCGTGGACAATGAGGAATATGAGGAACAGGCATGGAGAAAGGGGGAAGAACTTGTTGATGCCTGCTTGTGCTTGCTCTGACTAGAAGCCATAGGAACGGTTATTACAGTCGCCGAAGCCGTATTTCGTAGCAGTACTGCTTGTGGTGCTGGTGGTCGTCGTCGTCGCCTTCGTCATCGTCGTGTCGTCGCCGTCGCCGTCGTGTCACCTTGGCGTGGATAATCGGAGCCGCTGGCATTACAGTAGTGGGGCCTGGATAGAATTCTCCAAACTGTTTCGGGGATCCCGTGGTTGATCAGATGCACCCGTCTTGGGTTCAGTGACCGGTGTCAACCCTCCGACACTCCGCAAGAAGAGTGCCTGGATAATCTAGCTGCAGAAGTGCCCGGCTGCAAGCACAGGACGGAGAAGGACATTAATCATGCAGCCTCCGTCGCGCGGACCGGCATGTCGGCTTCCTGTTGCTGCGTGCTCTTAGGTGCCAGCAACGCAAAAGAGCATCCAACACGACGCTCGTCCTTCGCCGGCTTGATGGGTTTGAGCGGCTTGGCCTGGAGCACTTTGACCAAAAGCCTCAGCATAGAGCAGTCCCATGAATTGCCCGATCGACAGCTTGGACATGAAACAACAGCAAAGACCATCTATCTGACCTGATGCGCAGAGTTCATGTGTCGTCTGCCTCTACACTGATATATGTCCCTGGAAAGCCCGCTGCCATCTCATGCAGCCTTAGACTTGTAAGTGAGACGTCGCGAAGCAAATGGCATTAGCTCAAGACTGAACAAGTAATGTCTCTGAGAGTCGCCTTTCTGAAAAACTCTGGTGGTACTACTGCCCGCCCACGTGCCTGGACCGAACAATTCACCGCACAAAGGCTCCCGCTTTCTCGTCGGTATTGATGGAGCCCGTGTGCTGTCACATATCACGCATTTTGCGTGAGCACGGGCGTCCTGCTGAAGCTAGCATACACGTGGGGAACAACCTGAAGGAACGGCAATTTTCAACTGCCTGGCCTTTGCCTGCTCTGTCAGCATTCGACGTACCATCTGCAACTCTGCATTTGCCTCGTTTCCAACGCGAGCACACCATGACGCGTCAAGAACGCGGCCCTTCAGTTGGCAACAACTCTATGTCCGTGTGTGCCGAGAAAGAACCAACGGAACTGAAACAGGCCAGGCACACTTGAAAAATTCAGCGCTCAAGCGAAAACGAAAGCTTGAGATTTCGAGGAGATAGCAGCTGGCAACAGCAAATAGGTGCTGTTGTACTCCTAGACCGGGGGGGTGGTTACCCGAATTCGGCGTCATCTTCCCACCACCCCCCCAGCCGATCCCAGCCGAGGGCAGCATCGTCACGCTCGTCAAAATCTGGCCCCTCTTCTCCCCAAAAACCTCCCGAAGGGTCCAAAAAAGGCACGGCAAGCAAAACCCCAAAACCCTCCTTCTGTCTTCAGTAAGGAAAAAATCTTGCTAGATGGGGTCAGCCCAGTACTAACGGCAGCACAAGTACATGCCGTCATCGGCATCAAGTGCGCCTTCTTGTCTTCAGGGTCCGCACTCACGGCTTGCTCCAGATCTTTGGCAGCAGATCCCTGCACGTGAATGTGATACTTCAGAACTTTACGCACAAGGGTGTCCGAGCTTTGAACCCAGCGCTTCATGCGTGCTAGGGCAAAGCCGCGACGAAGCATGGCCTTTGCAGGATCTATACTTCACAACGATGACCTCACAAGCGACAGTCACCTTGTGGTGCGTGGGCTCGAAACGCAAGGCCTGACAGACTCTGCAAAGGATGCAAGCAAAGGCAGGATCAGATCAGCTCGCAGTGATGCTTGCATGCAGAGATTGCACAGGCCAGCACTACAGCACTCCGAAGTCATGGCTGCTTACAGGGTAAACTTGGTGGCTTCGATTCGGCTACTGGCATTCAGGCTGCACCAAACCTTCTTCACCTTCCGAGCCATTGAGCGAGGCGTATGGCTAAAACACCACGCCTCGGAGGCATCCAGTACACATTCCCGCCAATCCTGTGCGGAATGGGCTATCGCAGCAATCGCAGCACGCTCTGCAAATCGCCGCTGCGCCTGCTCCACTCTGGCGGCAGATTAAGAGCTTTTTTCTGCATTTGCACCGACGCACTTAAGTGTCAGTGAATTGTGCTGCACACGCTGCTCGTGCCGCATGGAACATAAGACCATATGATGAAAGTATAGTCCACGGTATGCTTCTGCTTGTCATTGCTTGTCTTACCAGACTTCCAAGCTGGCTCCCAGATTTCAGGAGCGTTTCCCGGAAGTTTTCCGACCTCAGAGCCGAAGTTGAGAAAAATAGCATGACACTGCTGCCCTGCTCCGTTCAAAGTGCCAGGCTCAGGCGCTTAGGACACGCGGTTGACGTGAGTGTACACTGCACGAGCCTCAAGTCTGCGCAAGTTGACTTTTTCAGGCAACAAAAGGTTCAATCTCCGAGGGGCGGACGAAACCAGGCGATGTGACAGCAGGCGATGTCACACCAGGGGATGCTACACCAGGTGGTGTTGCCAGGACAATCCGCTGACCTGCAAAAGAGGATATGTTGAGGACGGGGAGCAGAGAAGTACTGAGTACTCGATGGTCGTGGTATTTCTTGGTCGGCGGTAGGCTCAACTTGCTACACTTGTGCGATGCTCCAACGCGCCTGAATAGGAAGATGCAAAGGAGCCACCGGGTGAAGCCAGTAAGTTCTCGTATCCGAGCCCAAGCTCGGGATCCTTGTGGTTGTAGGGATCCTTGTAGTTGTAGTCCTTCCGTGAGTACGGCCTGGGCAGCACCCAGGAGCAACTCAGGAGGACCTCCTGCCTTGTCGTATGTGCTCCCCACACGCGCAGTTGCAAGAGTTACAGACCTGGATGTTGCCAGCGACTCGTCATCGCTGTCGGGTCCTGCACCCCCATCCCACAAATACTTGAAACAGCGTGAGACAAATCAAAGGCCAGAACTCCGTCAAGAAGTACTTATGCGATCGATACATGCTGAGCCGTCTGCTTCTGTGGAGGACCGGCAGAAGAACCACGACACAGCCGGCGACGGTGCACATGATGGCCACCGCAGCCTCGTGAACCGTACACGATAATACTATGGCTTCGCTTGACGAACACGGCTGATACAATGAAAGCAAAACGAATCGCATCAAATGCAAGTGTTAGCAGCGGCTTCCAAGAAGGGAAAGCTATATTTCATTACATTGTATTCCCCACCATGCTGAGCCCCATGTTGAGCAGAGTTGAACGGTGGACCTTGCTACCACTTCAAGGGTTTGTTGACAGCACTGCCCAACGAAATCGTGCAAGTGTGTGAGGTCAACCTCAAACATGGCCAGCAACAAATCGGTGGTTGGGAAACGACGGACAACAGGACAGACGACAATCATTCCGAAAAACACAGCAACATGAGGGACCCTGACATGCCCGAAACCCTAGCTACCATCTGAGGGATCGGTCAAACTAAAATCGGGAATTTCCGAGCGAATCAGCCACCACTCGCACAGGTTTCCGTCCCGAACTTTCGCCACTCGGACAAGCGAAGAGGTCCGAGTGTTTCCGCGCTGTCCTTGGAGCTTAGCGGGTTCCAGGCCCGTGAGAAGCCGATTTCGCTGCTCAACGAAGCTGCAAGATCGAACCGTTTCAATGCAGATTGTAGTGAATTCAAATCGCTCAACTGTTGGTGCGACGGGAGTAGCGACGAAGTCCAGCTGTCCTAAACAAGGACGAAGAAGAAATCAATACAAGACAACGCGTGCAGATACGAGTGAAGAGGCAGCGATCTCGAAAACGTTCGGAAATATGTCTCGTCAAGCATTGGGAGTGGGGTGCACAGTGAAACCCCAAAACACGCTGCTTGAAAGGAGGCCTCTCTTCATCATCGTTCGGGGTATGCAGCCTGTATGAGTTTATACACCATGTTCCATGTATGGAATCTCAGTTTAATTTGCGTAGTGTGACTTACCATGACCTTGTGCTGTAGTTTGAAACCTGATACAGTTCAACATATGAGGTAACCTAATCCAGTTTGTTGCAATGCAACTCAAAGCAATAAGATTATGTTAAATCGTGTCATACCATATCATACTGTGTCGTGCACTACATCTGTTTATACTATCTCATAGTCGTACAACCTGATATAGCTTAATCCAGACCGACTCTGTTCTTATCATGAACAAACACAAACTAAAGCTGTAAGGGTGAGTATGTGCAGTCTTCCTGCTCTCTCCATCCTTCGTGACGGAATTATGAGTCTTCTTATCACGCCTTGCAAAGCTGGAGGGTTTTGCTTTGACTACCATGTCAGTTATTTATTTCTGTCGTTCGTTCTTGCTGTACGTCTTTCTTTCTGTCTTTCGTTCGTTATTTCTCTCGTCAGGTCTTTACTTAGCTGAGTATGTCGTTCTTGGTTCTGTCTTTATTTTTCTGGTCGTCTTTCTTTATTTCGTGCACTACTTATTTCCCTCTCTTCTCCTTTCGTTCTTTCGTTGTGGTTTCCTTCTTTCGTTCCTTCCTTTCTTTAGTTCGCAGGGCTTAGTTTTCTTGCTTGCTTGCTTGCACTGGGGATGTGTGCTCCCCTTCCCCTGCGTAGCTGCGCTATGTCACCGGCCTATCTGATCTTCTTCAGCACAGCCAAAGGAGAACTGCAACCCCAAGGCAACCGCCCCCTCGTTTTCGAGCGCGCACTGGTTGTTCGCTGTCTGCTTGTGTGAAAAAGGAGCTCCGATGAGGCTTTTAGAGGTGCCGCTGAATCCAAACGGAACCTGAACTGAAACATTGGCCTATCTTTCTTCTTCTGCACAGCCAAAGGAGAGCAGAGCACGCTCCACCCTCCCTGCGCGCGCACCCGCCCGGGTCTTAGCCGTTGGTAAAACTTATTATGATGAGGCTGGAGTTTGTGAGGTCTTACCCCCCAAATGCCCTGTACACCATGCAACCCCCCAAGCCTCGTTGTTGCTAAACCTGGCACCTGTTCTGTGTGCCTCGTCGCAGCCTAATCTTTCTTTTCCTCTCCCTCTCGCTTCTGTCTCTCCTGCTGTCATTCGTTTGCTCTTTCTTTCTTTCTTGCGCACCCCCGTCCCCCCCACGCGCCTGCCCCACGCACCCCTGCTCCGCGCAAACCCCCCGCCACCCCCCCCGCCAAAAAAACTACAAAAAAAAAGGGAGTCCCAGCCAACTGAGGCTCCAACCAACAGAAAAAGTGAAGGAGTCGTCACGACTCTTGTGAATGTGAGGTCCTGATGCGGGGCATGTGCAGGTTGTATATGAACTGCCAGATCAGCTGCAAGTGAGATCGTCCAAACCAATGTAGGCTCTTGAATCCCTTGCCGTGGGATCTCACGGAACACAAACAAGATGTAACATGCCCCTGCCTCCGGTTTTTCCCGCTTGACGGGAAGTTGCACCAAGGAGTTCGCGCTTTGCAGTCCAAGCTGCGGCAGGTTAGTATTCAACTGCAGCTACAGATACATGCTGGCACTATGCAAGGTGAACAGCAGAACTTGTGCAGCAACGAAAAGGCGGCTGGCTTCAACACACAAGATTTGCTACATTGTCGTAGTTTTGCACCGAATCACCCTCCCACTCAGCCTTGATTCCCTGCTTTATGGAAGGATTCAGGATGAAGCTGTCATCGGACCCGTCGAAAGTATTGCTGCCGCCCGTCTGCTTCCAGGACTGGTGGGCCGGTTGCATGTCCAGCCTAGGCAAACGAAAAACACCAAGACATCGAGCACATCGCCAGGTACGGCCCGCACTGTCGCTGAACCCACTCACGCACCTGCACGCGAAATCTCGGGCAGAATTCCACGGCTTCACTGCAATGTGCCTGCTCGTCTAGGCAGGATGCAGAAGGCGTCATGCATGAGCTGAGGGCCTGTTAGGTCTGTCAAGCAGGAAAGAGCATCACTGCTTTCTGTGCATTGCTTGAAAAATGCCAGCAGTGCTGAACCCGGTTCAGCAGAACGAATCGGCGGGCTCAATTCAGGTGCTCTGCGTCCGAAGCTCCTTACAGAGAGGTCATCTTGCCAGTGAAATGGGTAATACTCCAAACATGCCGGCTGCACAGCAGATACAACGGCATGACAGCGCAATGCCTGAAGCCAGAGAATGCCAGAACATGAACTCGCACAGAAGTATGCAGGCAAGAGAGAAGCCTGCAACCAAGATGTTCCACGTCTCCAGAGACATCAGTCTTGACGCCTGTCAAGTCTTCAAGTACAAGTCACCACACATCCTTCGTAGCTGAATACTCTTGAACTATGCTCCCATGTGTCTGCACGTCCTCCCCGGATACAGCTGCAACCCATGCCCATCAGGCCATGCAACCACCGAAGAATATCGGTAGCTGCCGCAAAGATAAGATTGTTCCCACAGAATACACCGGGCGAAGCGCACCCAATCTACACAACGATTATGGTGCCGAAAGCGGGAAACAAGGAGCGCGTGTGCAAAGTCGCCTGAGTTATCTTCCAACGCAGGTCCTCGCGGAAGCCAAACTGAAACGAGTGCAGAGGCTTCGTGCCTTCGCACCAATCGGGTTCGTACTCGACGAGCGTGGAGGCCCTGCGAGTAGGGGGGGAAGCGCTGCCGAAAGGCATGGCGTGGCATGGCGATGCATGGCCGGAGTTGCGACCTCTCGAGATCTTCTCCAACGAGGCCAGCTCCCAGGTTGCCTGCGAGGACAAGACAAGTACAAAAAGAGACGGTGGCCGGCCTCTGAAAAGTGGCATTCTTGGCCTACCAAGGTGTGTTCGAAGCCACCGACGGCTCCATTCTCGACCTAAGCAGACACTTCCTTCTTTACTTAGCTGCAGAATGGCAGATCGGAAGCACCAGATGAACCCTCGCCGAGAACATGCTCCCCAAAGCATTCCAATAAAATGCACTTCGGCCATCAGCTTTCAGGGGCTTGAAAAGGATGAAGCCACCGAACCCGACGACACCACCTTGCTCTTACATAAATGTTCTTCTTCCGAGAGTGGGATACTTCCTGTCTGCTTTGTTTCCGACTTCGGGTTGTATGCAAACAGCCAAGTGTGAAATTTTGAGGTTTGCGACAGGACATTGTAAACCTCTGTAGTTGTGCTCTTTCTGCGTCCTGCTTGACTGCATGTGCATGTGCCAAGGGCTTTACGTTTGCTTTGCCGAAACGAGCGGACATGGCCTCTACTTACCACCATGTCCAATCATGTAACTGCAAAGATTACGGCCCCTGTGCTGACGTCTTGCGCGCTGCCCTGGTCTTGCACCACTACGATATGCAGTAGTCCATATGCCAGTCGTTCTAGGGCCCGTTGCGTTAGCTGACAGGCTGGATTCAGCCTTACTCAACTGATTCGACGTGGTTGTGACAGGCACTGTGCACACAATTGAGTCTTTGAAAACAGACCGAGTGGCTGAAGATCTTCACCTCTAACAAGAACAGTATGTCAAAGGGAGTGGCCCCTGGTGAGGTGGGTGTGGATATGCATGATAGAACCCAGTTATCTAGTCATCTAGTCGCGGCAGCAAGGGAAGCATGGATCGAAGTCAAGGACAGAAATTTACGTGTCGTGTTTTGCGTGCGAAAGGATCACTGTTTGCGGTGGTTGCCTGGGTTGAGGGCTTTCCTTGCGACCGAAAGAGCGTGGCCCAGCTCGCGAAAGAGATGTGCGGATGATGTGCGGCTTCCTCGCAAACACCATCGTGACGAGATCCCAGGCTCTTGCATCTCTTGCTGTGGCACAGGGCATAAAGCGCCCGGAGCCCCGAACCTTTGCAACTGAAAGTTTCTGAGGCTGCCGAAGCTGTCAGGAAGATCGAGATCAGGTTCGATCATGCCGATATCTGAAAAGACAAAGCTTTGCAAGGCTGCTAGAGAGGAAAAGGTGAACAAGAAAAAGATTAGCAAGATGCGAGCCCTCATCAGAGGGCTCCTGATTTCTTGCACTTAGCGAACCCAGGATTGCAAAGTCGAACAAAGACATCCAAAGCCCAAGCTGTCGTTTCCCTTCAAACCCAATACATTGATTGGATTGTCGGTGCAAGCCACACAACAACACATGCGCGTGTGGGTAACGAAGATTACGGAAGCCGACTCCGTTCCGTGACCTCTCAAGCGACGCCATGCAAGCAATGTGTAGACCGCTGGCATTTATTCAGGTACAGAGGCTTCTGAGGTGGACCGGTTGCTGCAACACTCTCAGCTCTGCAAGAAAAGGAGACATCTCAGATGGTCGCTATGTTCTTCAGCTCCGTATAGGGGGAGTCTTCCGGAGCTTTCTGGCATGGCTGCAGGAATAACCTCTGGTCTACGAGTCTGCAAGTTGTGCCGGATGCCTCTGTCAATAACGAGCTCTTGTATACATCGGTGACGACCTTCTTTCCTGCAGCAGAACCGCGATTCGAGACATGGCAATGGCAGAAAATGCATTCCGGGGCCCACGCGTTTCCACATGTTCTGAACATATTCAACCGTTAGCCGTTCGGCAAAATCACCTGGCGCATGCGACCATGCGGAGCAATTGATTGAATATCGCCCGGACCCACTGGCAAGCAGCGTACCCATTCCCTCGTGGGTCGTCACTTCGCCGTGGCAGCCAAAAAACAAATGACCTGAAGTTGAAGAATCCAGAGATATGCTCGTGCCGGCAAGCTGTTCAAAGAGACGGGCGCCTGAGAGCTTTGGAGATCTGGATGGCATGCGTTTACATCACTGCTTCCCGGATGCTGGAACAAATTGGAAGTAAAGTCCAAGGCAGAAGTGCGTGCCAGGGCATGGGAGAAGGAGTTGATCCGGTTCATGCAGTGCTCTACAAACACGACCTGGTTGTAGCCTGCTTCAGCAACAGGCTTCTGCAATGAATGTGTGGTGATGCGATGTGATGTGCCACTAAATATGAACTCCACTTCTCCATCCTCAGGAAAGCAGGACCGGTAGAAAACATCGTGCAACATCATTTCCACAAACGACAGCTTCGGGTCGCGGGTATGACTACAGTATCGCATCATCCTGAGCCCTCAGAAGTCTCGACGAGGCTTCGGGAACCCATCCCTCATGAAGAGCACATGGACACCGGGACAGAGAGCTCAGACACAGGTCTCGTCCAAGCCTTGCCCCCAAAGCTTCGGCCACCAATGCACCGAAACATGCACACAAAGTTGGAAGATTCACCGCAGTTTCCCGTTTCGATCGCACGACCGTGCCGAAGCCCACCCAGGAATCAAGCATGGGTCAGACCCTGGCATCCTCTGAAGCATCGGGATCATCGGACGTGCAAGACATTGACACCGCACACGCTTGAGATTGCCGCTGTGCTTGCTGAAGTACGGCTCCAGCCTCAGGATGCCGGGCAGCACAGGCTTGCGCAAATGACCAAACGACGTGATGCTGAGTTAAAAGCAACGACAACCTTCCGGGTGCTGCGGGATGGTCCTGCAACGATACAGCATGTGATATACCTATTCGACAAGCTGATGTACATGTTCCTTGGCGGTCGAGAGAAGTTCCGTTCGTTCTGTTCTCCAGCATGCGAAACCCACAGGCCCCCGTGATTCTACCGGTTGCTCATTACTTGCTCCTTTGGCGACCTGGCAGTCTTGGCCGATGCTCTGAAAGACTAGGCATGATTCCACACTGCGTCTGCGGAGCTCTCAAGAAAAAGCGTGAGCCCATACACAAGGCTCTAAGCAGGCCTCGACATGCAGCATCGAAGCGCATCGAACAGCCAACTGCGCTCCCAAGGAGTGGCCCACAAATCGCCTCGGATCTGAGCTCGTCTGGGAAATCTTGCTCGCTTCGCCTATGTGAAACTCAGAGCAGAACACTTGCGAACCACCAAAGGAGCCCATTGCTTTCTTGACGTTCAAGGCCTGCCGAAGTGCGTTGCTCTCATGCCTACACGGCCTACATGTGTCTGCTCTTCCCGGAAGTCAACGGCTGAGCCCGTGGCACACATGTCCGCTACAGATAGCTCATCCAATGCCTGCATCCGGGCTGAACGTTCATGATGGACTTCTGCATCCGAAATCTCAGCCACCGATCTTTGGCCTCGTTGTAGTTTTGGTAATAAGACACACCTGGCAGTGTCGTCAAAAAAACGTGCTCTTATCGGAGCTTTAGTTCGAACCTGATGAAAGATTGTATGCTTTCCAACGGAATCCATCTCCTCGCTTGTCGAACCTCTGCACAAGTTAAGTCACATGTAGGCATGCTCCAGCAGAGATCATAGATGATTGCTTAACTTACCCGGCAAAATGACTGCCCCCCTTCAGCCCCGTCAGCCCCAGACCACAGCTTCTGCTCGGCATCTCGCACGCATGCCTCAGCAAACTGTGGGACCATGTGGGACCCGATGCTTGCCTCCAATGTCGCTTCTCGGCCTCATCAGCGAACTGGTCCCAGTAGAAGAAACCGACATTCCAACCTCCAATGTCAGCAGAGAACCCTTCTACCCGCTCTGGTGCTCTCTTCGCCGACGCACGCGGCGAGAGACCGGACCCCGTTTGACCCTCGACACGCAACGAGACGACTTCCGGGTCTCGACAAGGGGTGTGTTTGGGCACAGGTCAACCCATGAAGATGCTGATTGGTTAATGTCCTTCATCCTCCAGGCTTGCCAAGGCATGCGGTTGTAAAAATCAAGGGAGCTGCATGCACTAATGAAACACTTTTCTGGATGGCCAGTTTAAGGACTTGGAAGAGCGGATCATCCTCATCGTCATTTGCCGGGGCAGGATGGCGGCGCAGCTGGCCAGAATTGATCTTGCATCTTCGTTACAATCCGAGGGACCAACAACGACGAGTGTGCATCTAGGTGGGTGCACGTTGCACCTCCGACCTTGTATTCCCATTGAAAGGGTTGTCCGTTTCGCGATCCGAGGGTCCAAGGATGACAAATGTCACCGACATGACGCTGTGCAGCTCAGCTGAAGGATTTACTTTCGAAATCGGAGTGTTCCAAGGTGAGGTCACGGTGAGGACTGTCACGAAGATCACGCTTGTACCATGCGCCGCTGGCCTTACCCAGCACGTTCACACAAGTATCACTATTACCATGGAATTAGGACAGCATCCACACCCTCGATCATCCATGCATCACCCGTCGACAAGTCGACCTCATCGCTTCGTACTACTCACCTAGCACCCCCATGCATACATACACCCTAGTACGATCAGGAAACATGACGTAACCAAAATCACCGTAACCCCCATCATCATCATCACCACCACCACCTCCAACATCGTCACGCATCATCTTCTTCATCATCATCATAATCATGATCGTCATGATCATCACATCATCATCATCACCACGAACTCAGCAGCATTGTTTGCTTCCCCATCTATGCCCTCAAGCTCCTGTGATACCTCTCCTCCGCCTCCCCTTCCTCCTTCTAGTGCTCGTCCTCCTCCTCCTCATCCTCCTCCTCTGCCTACTCCTCCCTCCTCCTCCTCCTGTGGAAGTTTGTTGCTGCATCTCTGTGGCTGGTCCTATTGGGATCTTTTGGGGAGATTGAAACTCCTGCACACCAAGGCAAATCCTATGCATTACATCTGCTCGCAGTGCCGTAAACTTTCCCTGCATAGGAAAGAACCGTATGGCGTTGAACTCGATCCCGCCAACTGTGCCTTCATCAAGCCAGGAGTTCACCAAGGGTTGACCTCCTCCATTTGGACAAATGTCGGGATGACCTCAACAACTTCTGCCCATTTTTGATCATTGCAGGCTGAAAACCGCTGAAAGACAAACAGTAAGGCCCTGTCATCTCGTTGTGAGACGCTTGCATCGGCTTGTCCAACCCTGACCTGTTGCGAAGTCTACGGCAGGGCCGAAAACCCGCTGAAAAGAGTATCCTCGGCATGCCTTCACCCGTCCATCCGTGGAAGTACAACATTGTGGGCTTGCTCGGATCATAGAACCTAGTCTCAGAACTCTGCAAAAAAGAGGCACTCGCAGCAATGCTAGATGCACATCACCGAGGAAAGCACTTTGATGGGTATCCGGTGGCCTGCTGCATCACGTTGCAGGGAGCTATCTCACAACAGTGCGCAACCGCTGTCCATGACAATGCGACTACACTTCATTCAAAACAGCTCTGCGGGTCTATGCAATAATCAGTTCTTACGAACGGGCTGGAAAATATCGTTATACCTTTGGGCGTCCTTCTCCGATTGGTCATCGGGGCCAAACCTGCCACAAGAAAAGATACCATGCCAATTCTGACTTCATGCTGCGCATCGGTGCCAGACCAGTAAATGCCGGCATCCAGCTGCTGTGGAAAGCCATTGAAACGACCTGCCAGTCAGCAGAGGGATGGACCAATGGTTCACTATCGCTACATGCTGAGTGTAGGGCCCAAATTTTCTGGCGTGCAGAAAGTGTTTTGTGCCTCGGCTGTTCTCGTCAGCAAGACCCCTCCTTCAGGAATTGTTCAGCCCCGGCCCTAGCCGCCCTAGCCTTGCCTCTGCGACCAGCAGTGTCGGCAAGAAGGCAACCTCAACATCCAAGAGGTTGGATAGATGGTGTGTAAGCGTCAACTCAAGCTTCAGACCAACATCTGCCTCAGTTCCCGATAGCGGTGCAAGCCAGTGCAAGGCCTTTGACAAGAAACGGGTGAGACTGAATGCATCCCAAGCACAAGGTCGAACACGCAGTCAATGAAGGAAGGCGAAGGCGCAACTGGCGAAGCAAGAGGCTTCTCACAAATCCAGGTCCGGAGCAGCACGCACGCAGTAGGTCCGCTGCTGGCCGATTCGACCCATTCGCCATGGGTTTGAGGAAGCGCATCATCAGCAGATACAGATCCAACTTGAATGCTCCATGAACGATGCTGCATCGCCGTCAAGCCGTGCATGGTTCCGTAGGGGTGACATGGGCCTGAATCTATGTAGCCGCGCGGGAATGACTCAGTCTCAAACGTGAGAGCCAAGGCTGAAGCAGCAAATTGAGAGCGGAGAGCAGAAAGGGAACTGCAGACTGCAGACTGCAGTGCCCAACTGGTCCATACGGTCCATGGAGTCCTCTAACTTTAGGCATGCCAGAGCCCGATTCGCCAGCAGGGCAACCTGAAGGGCTCGCGAGAGCTTCGTCGCGACAAAAGACCGCAGTTCCGTGCCTTCAGAGCAATCGCCTCCTTCTCGCCAGCACCGTCTTCATGAACCCTGTCACCTCGGAGCCGGTCATTTCATGCCCGAGCTCGGCCCGCGTCCGAACGCTCCTAAGCCATCTGCCGGGGTTGTAGCCTGCCTGCAGGCGATGCGTAGAATTTTGGTCAATCGTGCAAAGGACGTGCATACGGTTATTAAGGACCCTTCAAGTCTGGGTGATGATTTCTCGATGTATAAAAAATTGCAATGATTATCAGTTTGCTAAAAGGCATGCTAAATTGACAGGACGTCCCTCCCACATCTTCTCAGCGTCATCCACGCTGGAACTGGAGTCAGGGAGACAAGCACGTATATAGATTTCTGCACGAAAGGAAGCTCAGCATTCGCCATGCTCGTGTCCAATGCATTTCGCCGCTTAGAAACGTGATGACCAATGAAGCAAGATGCAGGCGGGGTGTTGCTTCGTTCATGTGTGGGAATTCCCCGCATTACTCTTGGTGGTTTCGGGGCTTTAGACTGTGCCGTTTCCATCGATGCCGGTGCACTTTCGAATCCTTCAAAACTGCGAAGTTTCCCGAATCTTCATAGCTCCACCCCTTTCCTCCGAAGGCTGGTACTTGTCCAGGCAGTCGATGGCAGCGGTGTAAGCAGCGATGGCCTGGGACTTGTATGTCGATCTCTGCAAGAAATCAACCTGAAGCTCGTGCCTCTCTGTATCGGCCCGCCCCAAACAAGCGATTTGCCTATACAAGAGCAAACAGGAGGACCAACAGAAACTGCAAACTGAAAGATGTCTTTTGTGTCGAGCGCCTCGTCCTTGCGGGGGGCTGCGAGGTCTACCGGAGCGACCTTGCGACCGCTGCGGCGGACGGAGACCTGCTTTTCGTGTCAACACTTGTATCCTTTACAGTCTTTCGATGTTGGATCTCCTTGGTTCGAAATCCGATACATGCGCACACAACCACGACCGCTACTACAACTCCTCGTCCTCGCCCTCGTCCTGCGGCTACTGAAACTGCTACTATCTGCTGCTGCTACTACTCCGACCTACTAGTACTGCTACCAACTCCGCGTCGTCATCGTCATCAACCTCATCATTATGAACAGCATCCAAAAATCATCATCAACATCATCCTAAAATCATCCTCCAACAAATTTGCTCCTAGCCATGTTAAGACAACGTCCATGTTACTCTGTACTTACGGCACTGTCGTCATGTAGGATCATCTTATGAAGCCTCAAAAAACTTGTCGAGTTTGCAAGCTCGAGCTTCTTGCTTGTTTAATTTCGAGTTTTCGCCGAAAGCAATCCGAAATTCCAAAGTCGAGTTCGCAAAGTCCAGACGCAGATTTGGTGAGTATATAAGATGGTCCCACATCAAGAAATTACTGCAAGTACCGAATAGAACGGCTCTTCTGGAGATATTGTTCGAGTGTCTGCGTTAATGTCGTCATCATCCCCCCCACCCCTGTCCCAAAAAACAAAAGCACGTCCAAAATCCGAAGCTCGAGTCTGCAAACTCGACAAGTCGATTTCTAGGCTTCATAAGATGATCCTACATGGCGAAAGTGCTGTAAATCTCGCGTAAAATAGATGCTGTCTAAATATGATTAAGAGCAGGTGTAGTTGGTAGGGGCATGCTTATTATTGCTCACTACGACTACTACTACTAGTACTACTACTACTACTACTGCTACTACTACTCCGACTACTACCACTACTACTACTACTACTACTACTACTACGACTACTACCACTACTACTACTACTACTATTACTACCACTACTACTTCTTCTACTACTACTTCTTCTGCTACTACTACTACTACTACTACTACTACGACTACTACTACGACTACTCCTGCTCCTACTCCTACTCCTACTGCTACTGCTACTGCTACTGCTACTGCTACTGCTACTGCTACTGCTACTGCTACTGCTACTGCTACTGCGCTCGTGCTCCTGCTCCTGCTCCGGCTACTGCTACTGCTACCACCACTACTTCTTCTACCACCACCACTGCTACTACCACCACTACCACTACCACCACTACTACTACTGCAGCTGCTGCTGCTGCCGCGGCTGCTGC